ACAGTGTGCAAATCAAGGGGTAAAACAGCTCGAAATCATGAGCAGTTTCAGAGTTGCTTTTGAGGCACCTCGAGTAACTCACATTGGTCAGTGAGCAAGATCACTGTTATTTGCTTTCTCACTTTTTGCATCACAGCAACATTTGAAGGTTCACCTTCATGCGATTTGATTATCCTGCATCATCTCAGTTTAATAACCTGAAAAACTCGATCTGCCTGACCAAATACTCAAAATACAGAAAATTACGTACCCCGCACGTATTACTATACTCGTCGAAGTAATCCCGTTCCCATCGCTTGACAAACTGCCGCTGGATGAAACTGGGAACCGAGCTCTGAATTACCACGGTACCGTTCTGCTGACGGTGGACATCCATCCTTCCGCTTTAGGTATTTCTCCTTTGACGTTATTCGGTTTCTCGTTGGCTAAGTCCATAGCGGTCTAAAGGGTAGAATGCACAAACGAAGTGACAGACGGAGCGGCTCGAAAACTTTGGTGACGCACCTGCTATTGCAATTTTTCAGTGTACCACATGGCAACACCACTACTACTGGATTGTACCACATGGCAACACTACTACCAACAATCAATACGAAACTAACGATTTTAAATTGGCTCACCACTTTAGTAGCCTATTGGTCCCAAGCAAACGATTAATGTACCCTATTCTAGTCGAAATTCTAGTACTACGCAATGTTTGTTTTGATTCGCTATGAAAGTTTGACAGATAAAATGAGGGGTTATTGGTTTTTCCTATGTTTCGAGGAGTGAATCGATTAGCTTGGGACCGAAGAGAGTACCAGAGATGAGCCAAAAAGTTGAGCACGTTATTTCGGGACCTTCTAGTCTTAGAGTTACCTCTATGCTACTACTGGATTGAACTAGCATTTTCACCAAATGTACTAGAATGTTTTGGTTCTATCTCTTTCACTCTACTCAAAACTGAAATCCATAAAAAAATGAAAAAATGATACCCACTCTTTGCACACTGTCAAAGAATCATTGTACACAAAATCAACTTGGTGCAAAACCAAAACAAAAATACTATCCCATCTAGTGGATGATGGCACAAGCTTCCAAGAAAATTCTATTACAGCGAACCACATTATTTTAATTGATTTCTTCGCCAGTTAGTCGTCTGTCACTTCGTTTGTGGTAGAATGTGTTGTTCGTTTGCATCTGTTTTATGATCAGCTCTGACGATATCGAGTGATTGGTAGCGATCTTGTGAACTTGATCACGTCTCATGCCCATCCTGTACATATACTGGCTGTTAGAATTCAAAGAGAAAGTCGACGAAGAGAATCTGTCAGCTTGATTTGTTCTTCGTCTGCCTGACCGGTTGTCATTTCGATTTCGTCCGGTAGATCGTTGATGGGTTTGTAGTCCGGACGAGGCTCGCAGGCACCGGAAACATTGGCAGCGTTGACTTCATCGTCCTCCACCTCTTCGGTTTCGGAACTGGCGGAGGCTGCACTGATGCTCTAGCTGATCATTCCGCGGGGGTTGTTGCCCCACTGGGGAGATGTTATCTATACCGGATACTGTGGCGGCGGATGGGCCACGGTTGTAATATTGCTCACCATACTATGTTTGATGTCCTGTGATGGAATCGTTATACTGTAGCTAACTTGCATGGTGCCAACGAGAATGTTAGTCGGAATGGGATCGGAGTTAGTTATTACCACATTGACTGGTGGTGCCTTTTCTACCTTTTCATGATTAATCGAAGCTGACGGGATCGTTGCATTATAGGTGAAATTCTAGATGTTTAGCAGAATAGCTGTTTAAAGAGCATGTTTGATCAGCGATGATCCTTTCGGAGTGACGACTGGGACTAAAGGGTGATACGGTCAAAATTTGGTCAATATCAACTTGACGTATTTCTTTCAATTTTGCATTTAAAAAACCTGAACACCCCTCATTTTGAAGGTGTGTGTGTGTAGAATGTTGCTCCTATTTTGATTTTGGAATTCACTCTTCAGTTGTCAAAATGCCGTCCAAGCAAGAAGAGCAGCGTATCAAAATTTTGCTCGCGCATCGCGAAAATTCGAGCTACTCGCACGCAAAGTTGGCAAAATCGCTAAAAGTTGCCAAATCAACCGTTACAAATGTAATTAAAGTGTTTGGGGAACGTTTGTCGACAGCCAGGAAGTCTGGATCGGGGGGAAATCGAAAACCGGAAGCCGCTGAGACGACAAAGAGAGTTGCCGGTAGTTTCAAGCGAAACCCTAACCTCTCTCTCCGAGATGCCGCAAATAAGCTGGGTGTATCGTCTACAACCGTGCATCGAGCCAAAAAACGAGCCGGACTATCGACTTACAAGAAGGTAGTGACTCCAAATCGCGATGATAAACAAAATACGACGGCCAAAGCGCGATCCCGGAGGCTGTACACGACGATGCTGACGAAGTTTGACTGCGTGGTAATGGACGACGAAACCTACGTCAAAGCCGACTACAAGCAGCTTCCGGGACAGGAGTTTTATACGGCAAAAGGAAGGGGAAAGGTAGCAGATGTTTTCAAGCACATGAAACTGTCAAAGTTCGCAAAGAAATATCTGGTTTGGCAAGCCATATGTACCTGTGGCTTGAAAAGCAGCATTTTCATAGCTTCCGGGACTGTCAACCAAGAAATTTACGTGAAAGAGTGTTTGAATAAACGTCTGCTGCCTTTCCTGAAGAAACACGGTTGTTCCGTACTGTTTTGGCCGGATTTGGCATCTTGCCATTACGGTAAAAAGGCCATGGAGTGGTACGCCGCCAACAACGTGCAGGTGGTTCCCAAGGACAAGAACCCTCCCAACACGCCAGAGCTCCGCCCAATTGAGAAATACTGGGCTATTGTCAAGCGGAACCTAAAGAAGTCCAAAAAAACTGCTAAGGGCGAGCAGCAGTTCAAGGCAAACTGGCTTTCTGCGGCGAAGAAGGTGGACAAGGTGGCTGTACAAAATCTGATGGCAGGGGTCAAGCGTAAGGCCTGGCAATTCGGATTTGGAAAAGCGGAAGCCTAACTGAATATTTTTCCTGAATTTTATACTAATTGAACTTGAAAAAGAAATTTAATTTGATTTTTTAAATAAACGATTTCACCGATTTACACGCGTTTTCCCTTGACCAAATTTTGACCGTATCACCCTTTAGTTGCTGAGGAGGAAGAACAACTGCGGAAAGCTGGTTGAAAGTGCAGGTTTTTGTTGGCAGTAAGCAGGCACTGGCACAGGTTCTTCCATGATATTCAAGCTATTCAAAAGCCTCAGGATACACTTGGGCTTACTTTGTTTACAAACAAAACTTACGTCTAATATGAGACGCATATTCTTAAAGGGAGTAAACGGTGTAAGCAGAGAAAAAATCGATGAACGTGGATTAAATATTGAGGTACATTGAATTACTCGCTAGTTACTCGCTGCAAAATAAGCAACTCAGAGTAAACTGTCTCACCCCTTGGTGCAAAGAGTTTATCATTTTGTCATTTTTTTTATGCATTTCAGTTTTGAGTAGAGTGAAAGAGATAGAATAAAAACATTCTAGTACATTTTGTGAAAATGCTAGTACAATCCAGTAGTACACTCTTAGAAATTAATGCCGATTTCGGTAATTTTTACCGAAATCTGAACAGCTGAACTGTTCGGTAAAATTTATGCAATTCATTTCAATTGCTTTTTAGCTACTTTGAAACTAAATCTCTACTAAAATGAAAAGATTTGATCATTTAAACAAGGTTGAACATGTTTGAAATTATTTTCAAATTCAATAGCCTTTAAAATGAAGGTCGAAGTTTTACCGAACGTTCAGCTGTTCTGATTTCGGTAAAGTTTACGAAAACAAAATCTTAGTGTGTAGTGTTGCCATATGGTACACTGAAAAATTGCAATAGCAGGTTCGTCACCAAAGTTTTCGAGCCGCTCTGTCTGTCACTTCGTTTGTCGTTTAAGAGCCTGAATTTATGAAGAGACGAATTTTGGTGAATTTTCACTGAAATTTGACGCTTCGAAAATAAATTATAATGATGGAAAATTCCTCTGTTGTTGATCGTCCAATTTTCGAGAAGGTGTTTGTCAAAATTGATTCCAGGTCTGTCAGAAATGACTCTGGTAGAATAGCAGGTTTATTTGAAATTTTCCATCTGTCAAATTTAAGTGAAATTTCCAAGGGGTACTCAACATATAGGGAACATATGATTTGACGTTTGGGTTGTGTCGTTTGACGTGTAAACGTTCACATTTGATCGTTTACACGTCAAACGACACAACCCAAACTTCAAATCTTATGTTCCTCCTAAGCGATCGTAAAATACTGGATAGGCTGTCTTGCAATGAGCACTCATACATAGGATTTCCAGTGAAAACTAGATGTATGAGTGCTCATTGCAAGACTGCCTATATTACATGATATAAGCCATAGTCTGTACTGGGTATTACGTAAACTTAATATTATAACCCATATTCCCGTCCCATATCATAATCCTATTGCCGACACATAAAATTCAAATAAGTCAAATGTATGTAAGGAAAACACACCCCGGAAACAAATTGAAAATATGGTTGTATAGCTTCACTGTAACAACTACGGCTAATCATCGAAAGTACTTGCACCTTTCTTCTGAGGATGTAATCTTTGCTATCAAATTCGTTCGAAGCATTTACCTTTCAGCGGCAGAAGACGCGATTGTATCTGTCTCATGGCGTTCGTATGAGAAAATGGAAGAGTTGCCAGTCTTCTTGATATGTTGTCTTCGATTTTACTCAGGCACTATTGAGCAAACTGCAATCACTCTCTCATACTCGAAATCTCTCGAAATGTACCACGACCAAATTGGCACAACGATGCCTTCTATACGCACTCTGACCAAAGCACATGGAAACTTCGTCGAAAACACCTGGGGTTTTGACCGCCTTTTTTCAGAACGGTCCCACGGTCATTCGGCATTCATCGACATATTAGGGCAACTATCTCAAAACATTTTGTCAACTTTTATTCATCTAACAATGCATACATTTTAACAACCTTACCTCTCAAACCGTCCCCCGCCCTACTTGGCATACAACCGCACCGCATTCGGGACCTCGTAGTTGTTCACTTCGAGCAAATCGATCAACTTCCTCGCAAAGTCCCCACTAATCTTGAAATCGCCGTCCTCGGCCTGCAGTCGATTGAACAGTTCCACCGCCGCCTCGCAGTTATTATCCCTGACGTACTGTTTCATAATCACCGCCAGGAAGTCCGCTTCCCGCACGTTTGCCAGTCCCCGGGAACACTTGGCCAAGCGTAGAACCACGTCCAGCTTGCCGGAATTCACCAGAAACTCGCACTGCGTCAAGATGTACTCGTGGTTCACGCGCGTTTCCGGATTTATAAGGATCCGACGGAGTTGTGCTTCGGTGCCGGCTTCCGCCAGGGCCACAATCAGTGTGTTGTTCGTGTTAACCGATCCGTGAATCTTGGAACCGATCTGGATAACTTCACCCAGCAGGGCTTTCGCTTCTTCGGGGGAAATTTCCGGATCGGTTGCATTGGTTAAACGGACCAGGGTGGTGAAGATTTCCAACTGAAGAGGAGTTCGGCGTTTCTCGGTAGCTATTCTTCGGTATTCGGTAACGGCGTTGCGGGTTTGGTTTTTAAGAAGGTACTCACGTATGACCGGACCGAGAAGAGCGTTGTCAAAGGTGCAGTAGCCCAGGTCGACTAGGAATTTCAGCATTTCGCTGGTGTGGTTTTTGTCCGATTTGTAGTCGTTTTCGGCAGCCCATTGGGCCGTGTTGGTCAATAGGTTCCAGATGTTTTTGTTGGAGTTTCCGGGCCGGAGTTGTCCGGAGGATGCTCGCTGTTTGATGACCTTCTGAGCGTTTGAGGGGAAGCCTTTTTCCGCTAGGAGTGCAGCAAAATCAATCACCTTGTGTTCGTCCAGCAGAAATCCTGGGAACATGGTTTTGATCTGCTCCAGGGTTTTTCCGGCTTCGTCTACATTCTTGCGCTTGATGTGTAGGTCAAAAACGGAAGCAAGCATACCGGAGCTTAGTTCGACTTTGGATTCGTCACACTTTTGCTTGATTTCCAAGGCACGATCCAGACGATTTTCACGAACGCAAACCTGCAGTAGCCGCCGAAGGACTCCCCGAGAATTGAGTTTCTTCTCCTCCAACTCACCCAGATGACATTCCAGCTCTTCGTAGCTCATGTCTCTCGGATGCACGATCATCGAGTCGAACATTTCCCTCGAAGGGATCGTAAGCTTATCTTCTACTAGGGAGTTTATCAGCTTATCGAGAGCTGCATTAATTTGCTTGGCCATCGAGAAGTGATTCTTCAGTACATTGGCACTCATTCGGCTGATTCGAATCTCGAACGTTGAAAACTGCTCCAGCAGTGACTTTATGGTGGAAGCATCATGCTTGGTCTTCTTGTTGCTGATCAGTTCCATCAGCAGCTGACCGGCTAGATCGTGCTTCGGATTCTGAGCCTTGTCCTTAAGCTGACGAACGACTTCCGACATAGTGTTGAAATGTTGTGCCGTTTTGTTAACCGTCATTTGCAATACCAACGGATAGATCAGTGCTTCTGTGTCCACCTTGGACGAGTACAGCTTGGCGACCTTGATCGCATCATCGAAGCGGTTCTGATAAAGCAAATGAGAAACTAACGGAGTCATCAGAACGGACATCTTGACCCCACGGTCTTCGAATTGCTTCAGCAAAGTTCGCACGTCCTTTAGCGAGATTGCCAGCTTTGGAAGAACGAAAACCGAAATCGTCTCCACGTCAATCTCGGTTCTGTACCGTTTCATAAGCTTGAGAACGTCCAACACTCCGGCTTCACCGTGTTTGGTGAAATTATGAACAATCAACGGCCAAAAGTAGTGCGGCCGCAAATCCTCCTGCTCCTTCAACATTCCCAGCAGCTCCGGATAGATGTCGATGCAATGTTTGGCCGCACATTCGCATGCCACATGCAAAGCCCGCGTGTTTCTTTCCGTTTTGATGAGTAAATCCACCAACAGGACAAGTTCCTCCAACGGAGCATTGGCTTTGACCATTTCAAATATAAGTGAAACTGCGTAGCTGTCGTAGTTTTCATTCAGATTAAACTTTGGCACTGGAAGCTCGTTTAGCAATGCTCTTACCGATTCAAACTTACCCTCGCGGAAGAGGTCCGAGCAAATGTTCCGAATAACTGGATCTATACTCGAATCCTGAATCACATCTACCGGAAACAATCTCACCAACAGCTTGATAGCTTCCTTGTGATCCCTCACCAGTGCTTCCTTCAATGCCTCCGCAACGTGATTCTCCTTCAGCAAACTCCCCTTCTCCGAAATCAATTGCAGTGCCTTCTCCATCTGATTGTTCCTCATCCATCCAACAACCAGCTCACCGTAGACTCCCTCATCCGGTTCGATATTTCCAGCACTCATCGTATCCAGAACAGTCCTCATCGCTTCCAGGTCACCTGCCTTTGAATGCCCCCGCACCAAAGCGGCCGCAATTCCCACATTCGACCCCAATCCTTGCACCTTGAACATCTCCATTACTTCCCACATCTTGGGCACGTCCCCTCGTTCGCAAACCACCCCCAAAAGCAGCTCATAGAACTCCTGGTCCTTCTCAACCTTAACCCCCGCCAAAAACTGCTCCACCCCTCCATCGAAATCCACCGCATTTTCACGGTAAACCCGCAACCATGTCTTCCATCGATCCAACGGGACTGTCTCATCTCCACGATTGGCCATGAACCAAAGATTCCTGAAAAGTTTCATCCGAGCTTCCACCGGATGATCCAGCAGCAATTTTCCACAACAGCTGAGCAGAAAATCGTACGATTCCGCCGGGATGTCTTCCGGCTTTGCCAGGATCTGGTTCAATCGATCAAGGTGAACTCGCCGGTAGGCGAGCACGTCAGCCTTCAACTCATCTAGCGGATTGATTGTTGTTTTCGCTGGAAAAACATTTGATGAATTGTGTTATCTTCTTACTAAAATATGTTAAAACACCTACCTTTCTTGAACCGGGGTTTAGCTTGCGAGGCAAACGAGCAGGAACCCCACTTCGACGGCGATGAATCGTTCCGCGTAAACAGCTGACTGGGCATCGGCCGTAGCGAAGGAGGAAAAGTCGATCGCATTCGGATGACGGCACTTCGACACAACACCAAACGATGCTGCACCTGGAGGAGGCTTCGAACTATGTTCATCGTTTCACGGAATCTGTTAACTTTTCCCGAAAAATCCACTTATTTATTATGGAAAAAATTGTACGACGACGCGACCGTACAGAAAAAAAATGTTACATGAGCACGGCACGGAGTGTGCACCGTTTTGTTTTGATTACAGTTCGCGTGCCCGCACCCGGCGGAATTTTGACAGTGATACTTCTTTGCCTCATCGGCCAAAATTTGGACCCAAGTCAACACAAACAATGTTGCCAGAATAACAGGAATTCATCAGCGGGGGGAGAAGAGATCGGACGGCGATACAACAGCCCGGATAAAAATAACTATAAAATTACAATAAAATACATTCATTTCAGTGCCAACATTTCAAAGGGGCGTAATTGCATTTGTAAACAATGGCTTTAGCCGTCGATTTCTCGTGAATAAAAACTCACTCATGAAAATTAATGACACCAGCAGGTAGATAAATGTTTCCTCTACCAGTTAGCGTTGTCATTTTGGAGAGGTAAGATTTCATTCGCGAGAAATTGACGGCTAAAGTCATTGTTTACAAAAGCAATTACGCCCCTTTGAAATGTTGGCACTGATTTCATTCTTTTGTTGAGAATTAACCCTATTGAAATTGTATTGTATTGGTCAAATGATCAAATTGTCGTGTTGACGAAGTAATGAAATTGGGTTGTTAGCGGAATGCTTAAATAAAACAGCAAAAAAGGTAATCTCCCATTTAATTCCACTTAATTAATTTTGGTATCCATGACAGATACGTTTTTCGACTACAATGTGCAGTCTTCATCAGTTTCATTCCCACTAAAGAACTTTTCAAAATCTAAACCCCTTAAGTACTCATCCCATAGGTAAAAAAGTCAAGATCACAGGTATAAAAATGAAACTACAATGTGTTGAATCGGAACCTACCTAACTAATAAAAACCAAAGTAAACTAAAGGAGAAAAATCTATACAACTCCCAAAGGCTTGGTAGCCATCATGCTTAAATAAAATGATGATCAGTACTTAAGGGGTTAGATTTTGATAAGTTCTTTAGTGGGAATGACACTGATGAAGACTTCACATTGTAGTCGAAATACGTATCTGTCATGGATACCAAAATTAATTAAGTGGAATTAAATGGAAGATAACCTTTTTTGCTGTTTTATAGTACAAACTACAGAGTTATAACATGTTATAGCGCTATCTTGATGGTGGTTTCTGTGTTGCAATTATTTGACAACCGTTATAACATGTTATAACCATAGAGGTAACTCTAAGACTAGAAGGTCCCGAAATAACGGGCTCAACTTTTTGGCTCAGCTCTGGTACTCTCTTCGGTCCCAAGCTAATCGATTCACCCCTCGAAACATAGGAAAAACCAATAACCCCTCATTTTATCTGCCAAACTTTCATAGCGAATCAAAACAAACATTGCGTAGTACTAGAATTTCGACTACAATAGGGTACGTTAATCGTTTGCTTGGGACCAATAGGCTACTAAAGTGGTGAGCCAATTTAAAATCGTTAGTTTCGTATTGATTGTTGTTATAACTCTCCAGTCTGTACAGCGTTTTATGATCAAATTGTCACCACATACGGTTTACAATCAATTCTATGTTTTTTCCTTGATTTTTGTTTTCCGTCAATCTTGTTTTGTGTACTGAGTACCAATTCTTCCGACGCCAGGGAGGTAGCTCCAATACCTTGACCCTACCTATCGACCCATCAACTCATATACCGGGGACCAACGGCCCAGGCTTTTTGGTGTGGCTGGCTGGCTGATCAATTCTATATTATCAAAATTTTGAACAATAAATAAACAACAAAACAACTTTGTCCGCAATTCTTGTTGAAATTAAGTTTAATTCTCCTTAGAATTCCCATGCAATTCAGAACCTCAAAATTATCTTGAAGTTCTCCTCTAAATTCTTCTAAAAAAACATTTTGGGGTGGTACAAACAATTCAGAGTCGCAAAAAAGCATATATATTGAATAAATCTACATAAACATTTCAAAAGTTCCTATTTGCATTGATCGATTATCTTCAACGACTTTCTCTTTCGTCAATAACTTAGCTGCAAAACCTTTCCCTATTGTATTTGACGTGTTGGACGCTAAATAAGAGCCTCCTTTATCAAACTATGTGGTAGGGTAGAATTAGCGCGAAATCTGTTTGCATAGCAGTGTTTATGAAAAGAGAAAGTCGATTAAGAGAATCGATCAAAGCAGATAGGACCATTTGAAATGTTCATCGAGAAATGCTATAAAACAGTGTACAATGCTGAATAAAACGAGTTGTCGAATTATGTGCTGAAAAAGCTCATTGAGATCGATAGATGTGTGTGTGTGTGTGTACAATCTAACCCCCACTGTCCGGCAGTGTTATTATGGAAGAAAACTGCTTTTTATTATCCTTTAATTAAAGCAGGTTTAGTCCGGGAGTTAGAAGGTGTTAGCTCTATTGCAGCTCCAGTGACCCATTTCAGAATGCCTGGTAATTCACGACCACTCCGAGGTCACTTTTACTTGCAATAAGCCCCGCATATTCACTCTACCTTTATCAAATGGATAATGGTATCATAAACACACTTCCAGATTCAAAAAATATTATTTCCAAATCTGGCACGTATATAGTTTTGAAATTTGTTCAACTGTATTAAATCGATTTGAATGGACATTTCTTACCAATTTTGTTTCGAATACCTCTTGATTCATCTGCTGGCAGCACTTACTGGCCTTACCGGCGACCAACTCGTCTGCCCGCAAAAGCAACAACGCCTAAATCTCAAAGCTCTCCGGACGTCCCCTCGAAAATGCAATCGAGATATGTATAAGAACAATCTTCAACTGGAACGTACTCACCAAATCAATACATCCGGGAGCACATTCCCGATGCTTATTTTTCTCTCGCATGTCCGTCGTCGTCTAACGGCAAAAAAAGGGAACTCGGTGAGCAATTTTGTGGTACGGAATTTTCACTGAACATAAACCGTGAATTCACGAATTTCATCAAACCCAACTGCGAAACACGTTCAGAAGAATTTTGGTACACTTTCGATCAATTTCTTTCGCAAACACTTTTTTTTGTAAAGAAAGTTGCAAGCGAGCCAACATCAACACCGATTGTGCCGAAGCTCATTGAGATCGATAGATGCACATTTATTCCACTGTTTGCTCTGATTTGATTAATTTACTTATTATAAGCGTTAAGTGTCTTCCCAATTCAACGCCAGAAGTTTGATCTAATAACAAACTGAATAAGTGTAATTTGTACATACATTGACACTTTAATTCGACTGTTTTCAATTGATTTAATAACATGCTTTATTAGACGTCTAATAAATGTTCTCTAGCTCCGTTATTAGATTTCACTGCATTGCTTTACAATATTTCTGAATAAAGGTGAATGCAGTCAGCATAATAACGACATGACACTTAATTCTGACTTATGTCCGAAAATCGTAAACGACTGATTTAAATGTGCAGTGATCCGAACTGGCAAAACCATAGGATTTTTTGATCTAGATAAAAATAATTTGTCCAGAATAGATCAGACACGAGCCAATTCATAACTTTTGCATGCGGGTTCATGGCTTAGCTAAATATTTCCCGCGAACACGGAGCCAGATGTCAGTAGTGGGCTTTGGTCAGAAATTTTATTATTTTTGCTACGGTCATTCATGTCGGTTTGTCGGTGATTGGAATATGAGCGGCTGAGTGGCTTAATTAGGCGGTTTATTTGGAAGGCTCAATCGCGTTAGCTTTACGGAGCCGATAGTTCATTGTTCATTGATTGTAAAAAAAATCACTTAATTCTATGCCTAGTAGGAGTTGGGCCGAATACTCGCGGCTTACTCGAGGTTAGAGAGGTACATTGTCGAAGGATACTATCAGGGGAGGAGCTTGGAGGTAAGGTTTCGTTGTCTCATCAGAGCGTTGTCGCCAGTATGAACGGTAGTGCGGTTCTAGTTTCGTCTGGAGTTCGACCGGCTATGGCTAACTACGCACTGTACTCTCATTTTAGTATAGACACTCTTCTTAACACCGGTCGTTGCTATAGCGGGTACCAAACAAGTTGTCCCATTCCGTATCGGTAATGAATATTTTGGCAACGAAACCATCTGTACGTCATCAGTTTTCGATTTGGACAAAACAAAATAGATAACTATTCCTCGAACTATTCACTGTGTTTTTCGGATTCCAATGACGACGATCTGGACTTGGTAAGCAGGATTTTATTTCAGGCGCAGGCTATCGTAGCAGAAACCGAGGCAGAAACGACATGTACGCAAGAAAGAAACAGACGTGTCGGCGACACAACGCTTATAGATTGGCGCAGGAAGAAACTGAACGCCAGGTGTCGGATTATTTCTCGATAACTAAACGTTGACTCAATTTGAACTTAACTTGATTATATCTTTAACTAATTAACTTAGCTGTAACTTTAACTAAACATAACTTTAACTTAACGTTAACTAAAATTTAACTTTATGTTGACTTAATTTTAACTTAACAAGAACTTCCAAGAAGTGTCAAGTTTCAAGGAGTTCCAAGAACACCCAAAAACTTTCAAAGAATCCAAGAAGATATACAGAAAAAAAAGTTGTTGAATATTACATCCAAACTGCTGCAACCAGGTAAATCCATCGGTTGTGTAATATAACGTTGTACGATGTACATCGATTTTGCGAACAAAATAACATCCATTGATGTGATATTGTATATGCTTTTTGCTATTACATCATTATTTCATACATCAGCTTGAATTACATTGATCGATATTACATTTTTTTTGCTGTGTATATGAATCTCCAAGAGATTTCCCTGAAGTTCATTGGAAATAACTTTAATATAACGTTTACTATACTTTAACTTAACTTTAATATATCTTTAACTTAAGTTCAACTAAACTTTCTTATTTACTTAATATAACTTTAATTCAAGCTTTAAGTATAACTTATCTTTAACACAGTTTTAATTTAACTTTATCATAATTTTTACTTAACTTTAACATACCATTAACTTTAACAAAACTTTTAACTTAACTTGATTTTATCTTTAACTTAATTTTTACTAAACTTTTACTAT